GCAGGAGCTGCAGGACGGCGGGCCTCTGACAGCCAGATGATTAAAGCGGTAAAGCCTCACAGCTGCTCAACCTCTGGGTTGTTACGGTCTTCCCCGCTTACATCAGGGACTTTTACACACTGGGCTTACTTTGCCTGATATCTGGCTCTAGATGTCACAAACCTAACAAGATCTCAGAAAAAGATCTCTCTGACCAAAAAGCTATGAAGTCATGAAAACCAATGAAACTGGTGTGTAAGCTGTGACCAGGAAGCCTGTGGTAGAAAATAACCGAGTCATTGTGAAAAAGTGTTGTTGATCATTTTAAACTCCTTGCTACATTTATGACCTGGTCTTAAAGGCTTAGCCCTCTAAAAGGATCTCCACAGGAGCAGACGGTGTGAAAACCAACCAAACTGGCATGGGATTACAAACATTTTTAACAGTGATTTCTGAGGAATTCCAGCTGGCTGCAGTTCTTCGAATGAATAAATCCCTTCGTCCACGACGTAATCCTGAAACCCAGGACAGCTTGCAGCTACAGAAGCAAACAGTGACATCTTATTAGCTTTGCAGGAGAGCACAGCATTTTACATTATGTCAGGAAGCTTACATCTCTCTGAACATGCAGCCAGTAAACATCTGTCGCAGGGTTGTGTGTGTGTGTGTGCGTGTGCGTGTGTGTGTGTGTTTGTGTGTTACGCACACTTTAATATCAAGTTAGATTATAAACTGACGCTGGAAGCATCACCTGTAAATATAAACCTAAGTCATTGGTTTTCCAGCTTGACAGACAAATTCACAAAGATGCTTTCATTATTTAGTTCAAAAATATCTTTTCAGCTGATTTCAAGATAAATAAAATGCATGCAAAGATGTTGTTTGTGTGACATTTAAACTATGGTGTTGTTAAAAGTACAAAAGGATTCGATGTAGCTAATGCTCGTTATTAATGGTAAAATGTGTTCGTTGTGTGCAGCTAAAAGCTAAAGCTCTGGCGATACAGTTCAGACCCGTCGATGGTGACCACAAAGCCCATTTGCTGCAATCTGAGCTTTTAAATGCATCTTGTACTTGGCTCTAAGAACAGGGACCTGAGCTAATGCTAATAACATGCTAATGCTAATAAAGATGCGTAGCCCCGTTAATTTGGTGAGTTTATAACCACGAAACATTTAATCCCTTCAGAAAAATAAATCCTAAATAAAAATCAGTATGAAGGCTTGTTTGTGTTCTTGTTAAAGAAAACAAATAGCATTAGCAGGAAGTATAAGTGAGACAAATGAAAATGGTAATCCAGCCTGGTGTACGAACAATTTTAGTTCAGAACATATTTCAGTAAAAGGAATTAGGAGTTTTTGGAGGAACATTTAAATGTTTCAGGTTTTTATTTTGAAAGATTAAAGGAAGTTCCTTGAGATAAATCTCAGGTCATCTCCAACTGACTGAACAGAATATCACAGGCTGTTATTTTGTAGTTTACTTAGTAAAAACTTCCCAGACGCTTCAGTTAGAAAA